TGATGTATTTGGTAAGGCAACAGGGATGTTGTTAATTGAGCAAAATCGAAGATTAAAGGCGTTGGAGAGTGGGATGGGGGAAGGGTGGGTCCAGGAGGTTAACGGTGGTTGATCGTATGTGGAATCAGTATATTGCGGGAAGTATGATCAGACGAGGGCAATGTAACTCGGGGAAGGTGGTACACTGTCTTGAGCGCTTAAATAGTCTATGGCCGCGACATTTAACCCTGCACCAGAGGGCAGGCGTCATTAATGCTCTGCTTTATAGCAAAGTATGGCATGTTGCTGCACTGTATCCTCTGTTGCAGGGGGATGTCAAACTTCTTCTGCCACATGAGTTTATAGATTTTTGTGGGGCTCCGGTTGTGACTGGCTCCGAAGAGCGGTAGTAGAGACACCAATGCGTCAGGGAGGGTTAGGTCTCATTCCTCTAGAGGCTCGTGTCATAGCGTGTTACGTGAGCGTCTGTTTCTCAGACTGAGTGGGGATGCATATGGGTTACAACTGAAATGTATTGCGACATTCTCAGGTGGTGGGGAGGGGGGATTTAATTAGGTGCGAGTCGATGCCCGAGTGTTTATTACCCATGAGGGACGTGGTGACGTGTTAAATTTATGTACTTTGGAAAGGGTCGGTAACTGGATTTTAACTGATAGAGTTCCGGGGGGTCAACGCCCCCGCGGCCCCGGGTCTGACCCAGGCCTCCTTAGGTCAGTGTCCCAGGATGCGACCCACACCAGTCGACTAACACCCAGGTACCCATTTTACTGATGGGGAACATAGACAACAGGTGGAAAGAAACACGTCCAATGTTTCTACTCTGGCTGGGAATCGAACCCAGGCCCTCGCCGTGTGAAGCCAGAGCGTTAACCACCAGGCCACCAGATATGGAGAGAGTCGTGGTGCGAGTTGAAGGGATGTATCCCATGTATGTGTGGAGTGATATATGGAGGCGGGTTCAACAGTTGCGTCTCCTTGCTCAAGTACGAGAAGTGGTTTTTAAAATTTTGCATGGAATCTTGCCGGCGTGGTGGTGTTGTATAATAGGCGTTTGGGAGAGGACCGGGGTTGTCCGGCGTGCAGGGCGGAGGAATCTGCATTTCACGTTGTGTATTTCTGTGAGACTTTAGGCATGGTGCGTGAGTGGTTTAGTAGGGTTTTGCCTTTGGTGGGAGGGGGATGTTTGTCGGCGCTCCGAACGTTGAGTTTTGATGCATGTACAACGTGCGGTGTTGTACGTTGTGGCCGATTATATTTATGTGTCATGGGCAATGAGGCACGTAGGTAATAGTAGAATTCGGGTTTTAGCAGGAACGATTTATAGGACAGTGTCGAAATAAGTTGGTATATGAGGGGAGATAGGAGAAAGACTTCCCGTCTGAATATAAAGCCTTGGAGTTAAGAGATTTGAGATAGTTTATGAGCGTACAGTGGATAATCTAACGGGCTGGTCAGCTGTGACTAATTGTGTATAATAGTTACGTGAATGTTTTGTTATGTCTGTGTTTATATACGTCTCCTATGTGATGGTGACGTCGCTATAACTGTTAAGACTTTGTATGTCCAATCTCCTTTCCAAGCTACCCAAGTTTTTAGACTCTATAACCCCACTCGGTACATCATCAGATGCAGCATTCTCCACCTGACCTCAGCATTCTGAACCTGACTATAAATACTCGTGTTCCTTCCACCCCAGGTAGTTCTGTTTGTGACTTGAAAAAGCCCACTGTGTGGGCGAAACGTAATCAATAAAGGATCACATTATACTGCATATGTGTTTATATTTCCATGTACAGAAATTAAAAGGTCTTCCGTCATTTATCTCTCGATACAAGTCACTGTTGTATAGATGTGTTTCCTACCATAAGCGATTGGTACTTATTTTATGCTTATATTTTATGCTGTTATAGTGTGTTTTTCTGTAATATTATATTACATGTAACAGATTGCATTACTTTTTTCTTTGTGTTTTGTTTCTGGAGTTTATCTGGAGAGAGTTCCGGGGGCCAACGCCCCCGCGGCCCGGTCTGTGACCAGGCCTCCTTAGGTCAGTGTCCCAGGATGCGACCCACACCAGTCGACTAACACCCAGGTACCCATTTTACTGATGGGGAACATAGACAACAGGTGGAAAGAAACACGTCCAATGTTTCTACTCTGGCTGGGAATCGAACCCAGGCCCTCACCGTGTGAAGCGAGAGCGTTAACCACCAGGCCACCAGAGCCTGAGATGTAAAATATCACATCGAAGTTTTGTTATATTGGATGTTTTTATATTGTGACTTGTGGTATTATCCCGTTTCCTTCTTTGAATCGTAAATACCTGTGTCTATGTTAAGATCTCGTGATAATCGCCTAAATTAATGTTTGAGTATCGTGGTGCTCTGTTGGGCACCTGAGAGCTTAGATTAAGTCTTGCATACGTGTGTGTTGACAGGCGGAAGCCTCACCTAGTATGTGCCTGATGTAGTGTCATGTTGTGTATACGTGTGTGTTGACAAGCGGAAGCCTCACCTAGTATGTGCCTGATGTAGTGTCATGTTGTGTATACGTGTGTGCTTGTGTGTGTGCTTGTGTGTGTGTGTGTTATTATGTGTTGTGTTTTTATCACAATGTTTTATTATTCAATCTACATAATTTCCAGTGTTTGATGTTTTGTAATATGTAACCTTGTTAGTGGTGTTCTTAAATAAAACAATATCACTGTAATATACGGTGTGTTGTGTGTGAGAGTGTATTACCACTGTAATATACGGTGTGTTGTGTGTGAGGTGATACCACTGTGATATACGGGTGTGTTGTGTGTGAGAGTGTAATACCACTGTAATATACGGTGTGTTGTGTGTGAGAGTGTAATACCACTGTAATATACGGTGTGTTGTGTGTGAGAGTGTAATACCACTGTACTGTACGGTGTGTTGTGTGTGAGAGAGTAATACCACTGTAATATACGGTGTGTTGTGTGTGAGAGGGTTTTACCACTGTAATATAACGGTGTGTTGTGTTTTTGAGAGTGTATTACCACTGTAATATACAGTGTGTTGTGTGTGAGAGTGTATTACCATTTAAATATACGGTGTGTTGTGTGTGAGAGTGTATCCCACTGTAATATACGGTGTGTTGTGTGTGAGAGTGTATTACCACTGTAATATACGGTGTGTTGTTGTGTGAGAGTGTATTACCACTGTAATATACGGTGTGTTTGTGTGTGAGAGTGTATTACCACTTTTAATATAGGGTTTGTGTTGTGTGTGAGAGTGTATTACCACTGTAATATACAGTGTGTTGTGTGTGAGAGTGTATTACCACTGTAATATACGGTGTGTTGTGTGTGAGAGTGTAATCCACTGTAAATTATACTGTGTGTTGTGTGTGAGGTGTAGTACCACTGTACTGTACGGTGTGTTGTGTGTGAGAGTGTATTACCACTGTAATATACAGTGTGTTGTGTGTGAGAGTGTAGTACCACTGTACTGTACGGTGTGTTGTGTGTGAGAGTGTATTACCACTGTAATATACAGTGTGTTGTGTGTGTGAGTGTAATACCACTGAAATTTATAGGGTGTGTTGTGTGTGAGAGTTTTTTTTACCACTGTAAATATACAGTGTTGTGTGTTGTGAGTGTAATACCACTGTAATATACAGGTGTTGTGTGTGAGAGTGTAATACCACTGTAAATATACGGTGTGTTGGTGTGAGAGTGAATACCACTGTAATATACGGTGTGTTGTGTGTGAGAGTGTAATACCACTGTAATATACGGTGTGTTGTGTGAGAGTGTAATACCACTGTAATATACGGTGTGTTGTGTGTGAGAGTGTAATACCACTGTACTGTACGGTGTGTGAGAGTGTAGTACCACTGTACTGTACGGTGTGTGAGAGTGTAGTACCACTGTACTGTACGGTGTGTGAGAGTGTAGTACCACTGTACTGTACGGTGTGTGAGGGGTGACCACTGTACTGTACGGTGTGTGAGAGTGTAGTACCACTGTACTGTACGGTGTGTGAGTGTGTGTACCACTGTACTGAAACGGTGTTGAGAGTGTAGTACAACTGTACGTACGGTGTGTGAGGTGTAATACCATGTACTGTATGGTGTGTGTGAGAGTGTAATACCACTGTACTGTATGGTGTGTGTGTGAGAGTGTATTACCACTGTACTGTATGGTGTGTGTGTGAGAGTGTATTACCACTGTACTGTATGGTGTGTGTGTGAGAGTGTATTACCACTGTACTGTACGGTGTGAGAGTGTATTACCACTGTACTGTATGGTGTGTGAGAGTGTAGTACCACTGTACTGTATGGTGTGTTGTGAGAGTGTAATACCACTGTACTGTATGGTGTGTGTGTGAGAGTGTATTACCACTGTACTGTACGGTGTGAGAGTGTATTACCACTGTACTGAATGGTGTGTGAGAGTGTAGTACCACTGTACTGTACGGTGTGTGTGAGAGTGTAGTACCACTGTACTGTATGGTGTGTGAGAGTGTAGTACCACTGTACTGTACGGTGTGTTGTGTGAGAGTGTATTACCACTGTACTGTATGGTGTGTGAGAGTGTAGTACCACTGTACTGTACGGTGTGTGTGAGAGTGTAGTACCACTGTACGTATGGTGTGTTGAGATGTAGTCCACTGTACTGTACGGTGTGTTGTGTGAGAGTGTATTACCACTGTACTGTATGGGTGTGGGGAGTGTAGTCCCAAACTGTACTGTACGGTGTGTGAGGAGTGAAAGTACCACTGTACTGTACGGTGTGTGAGAGTGTAGTACCACTGTACTGTACGGTGTGTGAGAGTGTAGTACCACTGTACTGTACGGTGTGTTGAGAGTGTAGTACCACTGTACTGTACGGTGTGTGAGAGTGTAGTACCACTGTACTGTACGGTGTGTGAGAGTGTAGTACCACTGTACTGTATGGTGTGTGAGAGTGTAGTACCACTGTACTGTATGGTGTGTGAGAGTGTAGTACCACTGAAAATGTACGGTGGTGAGAGTGTAGTACCACTGTACTGTATGGTGTGTGAGAGTGTAATACCACTGTACTGTATGGTGTGAGAGTGTAGTACCACTGTACTGTATGGTGTGAGAGTGTAGTACCACTGTACTGTATGGTGTCGTTATTATGTGTTCGGGTTAAGTGAGATTCTAGTGCAGTAATCTTCTGTCGTGTATCATTTTAATATATTTCTGTCATTTTGTATCGCACTGTTTTAAATAAAATAAAAAAAAATCCGATGACATTCGTCACTCGACCTCTGTGGTGAGCGGACTTGCGTTTGACTGTCCTCTGCTGGCCGTTGGAGCGAGCTGGGATTTTCTCAACATGGTGCAGCAGGGAAGGAGGAGGATTAGCACCGTCTGTATGGAGCTGGTGCGTGGGGCTGTGACGGCCCAAACAGCCTCTGTTCTTCTGCCAGCCATCATCAGGGATACTTATGGAGTGGCTGATGAAGAACTTAATGAAGTAGCACTTAATGGGGCCTATCAGGTCTTTGTTAAGCTCCAATCAGTGTCTACGAGCGGCTCGTGGACAGATTTCAAGATGGTTAAGTGGTTGTTAATCCTGCTGTCACAGTGAGGCTGATACCTCTCGTTACTTCACGTGGGTTAAGGTGCGTAACGTGCCTTTCGAGGCCGATGAGGCCGATTTACGAGAAGGATTCGGCAGATATGGAACTGCAAGTGGTGACCATTGGGAAGTGGATGGAGGGCACATATGCTGGCCTCCTTGAAGGTACCTTCGCTCTGAAGACGACATTGAAGCACCCTATCCCATTGTAAGTGGTGTTTGATGACTTTCGTATGCAAGTGATGGTTTCCTATGCAGGGCACCACAGTACTTGTCGCCTTTGTGGGGCATATGCTCACATTGCAGTGCAATGTGGTCCCCAACAGTGGAAGGATGTGGGGCATCATCCCATGGCAGAGCCCGTCCAGGAGGTGACGGTTGTGCCTGAGTCGCGTGCACGTCAGAAGACGTCATCGTGGAGTGCAGAGGTGGAGTGGGATGAGCTGCTTGAGAGGACATGTGTGACTACCTGGGGAGTCTTCCTCCGTTTGCCCGGTTATGAAGGGTGGGGAGAGCGGGACACTCGAGGAGGAGAGAGTGGTAGAGGACACGTTAACTACTGTGCTGCATGGTTTGTTGGAACTGCCTGGTGTGGCGGATGAAGAGGGGCTTCTAGAGACCCTCAAGAACATATCTGGTCTGAGGTCACAGGATGTGGTGGAGCTGGTTGTGGGGCAGGATGCCTGCGTGGATGTATTCACTGTGGAGGTGGTGGTTCATAACGAAGGCCCTCTGGAGGTGGTGGTTCATAACGAAGGCCCTCTGGAGGTGGTGGTTCATAACGAAGGCCCTCTGGAGGTGGCTATGGAAGCAGAGAGCGGGTCATGCAAAAGGGCGGCAGCGCTGTCAAACTCTGATGACGTCCTCACCCCAGTGCAGAGGCCTGGCAAGAAGGTGTGGGCAGAGGTGGCATGGGGCGGCCCTCAGGGCCCCAGTGGTGGCTAAAGGAGGTCATCGTGTGTCTGGTAGTGAGAATGGTGGCAGACACTGGCAGGCATCTAGTGGCGTGTCAGTGCCGAAGGGGCACAAGGTACTGCTGGCTTGAAATGTCTATCAGTAAATTTGAATGGGTTGTGAAATAGTAAAGTATATGTGGCTCACGGATTTTCTCCGTAGGTATGTGGTGGATGTAGCATTTGTGCAAGATCACAATTACAAAGCCGAGTGCGAGTTGGTAACGGATGGTTTCGAGGCATTTGTGGCACATTCGACTTGATTGAAAGGGGGGATCTGCCATCCTGCTGCGAGAGACCAGCCCATTTGTTGTATACTGCAGTGAGGTGGGGGGGAAGGTGCATGTTGTGTGAGTGGACGTGTTGTGGATGGTGGAGGGGGAGGTGCTAGTGCATGTCTATGGGCCGCAGAGGGGATGGGCGTGTCAAGAATGCCTTTGTGTAAGTAAATAAGTAAGTTTATTCAGGTATACACAAATAGTTACATAGAATTATCATACATAGCAGCATATGTGTAGAGAACCTAGGATAACCAAAAAAAGTCAGACAGAGTGACTTATTTCCATTGGGGTGGGGGGATGTGTTGGTATATCCCCCTCCAGTCACTTCCCCTGTGGCACTCGTGGGGGGTGAAATGGAATTGTGTGGTGCACAGGAAGATTGTGGAGCCGCAAGGGGTGGGATTTTGCTCTGTAGTACTATGGATCTTTCGCGGAGGGTGGGGTTGTGGGACGTGGCTAGGGGGGGAAACGTGGGAGGTGGAGCACATTTTGTGTGGGGAGGGTATGCTGCTCGATTAGACCGTCTGTACGTAATGCAGACTGCACGGGTAGAGAGAGTTGTGTGCGGTTTTATGTAGCATATTTGGATCAGGCGGTATTCATGGAATTGGGGGAAACAGGTTGCCAAGGAGGCATCGAAGTTATTGGAAATTGAACGTTAGGCTCCTTGAGGAAGGGGAGAGGAGGGAGGGGTATATGGGAATGTGGAAGGAGTTATGGTCAGGGATGGAGGCTGATGGGGATTTGTTGGCTTGGTGGGATGGAGTGGCAAAGGGAGGGATTAGGGATTATATTTGACAGGGAAAGGGGGAGGCTCACATAAATCGCGCATAAAAATTTACAGAACCAAGAAAGCTACGCATGAACTTCTTGGTTTTGGGAAATTTAAATTCTAATAAAACTTTGATCTTACTGGGGAGAGGCTGCAGAGAGTTATTAGAAAGTATCAGTCCAAGATATCTAATCTTGTTATACCCAAGGAAGCATTTCTTCGGCTTGGCAGTGAGGCCATGTGAGCGTAACCTATGCAAAACTGATGTTAATGTTTGGATATGTTCACCCCACGTGGATGTCATTACGTAAATGTTATCAGAATAAACTGAAACATTTGGCATATTACCCAAGACCTTTCTCATCAGTCTCACGTAGGTAGCACAGGGAGTTACCAAACCGAAGGGCATAGTTCTATACTGCATCAGTCCTTGGTGGGTAGGAAAAGCTTAGAAGAAGGATCTAACATTACTTGATGATATGCCTGCGCAATATCAATCTCTGAGAAGAAGGAAGCGTCATAAAATTTGGGGAGAAACGCTATCTATTAAGGGCCTAGGTTCAGCATCCCACCGAGTTATAGCATTAAGGCCTCTGAAGTCAATAGCAAGTCAATATGAATTATCCTCCTTCTTAACCATGACTACTGGTGAGCAATATGCAGATACTGAAGGTTCAATGATCTTTAGTTTTAATAATTTGTCTACCTCTCGGTCAAATGCATCCCCAAGGTGAACTGGAACGGGTATAATTTTCGTTTTATAGGATTGTCCGTCACTAAGTCGTCTTAAAGGACTACCGTGGAGGTAACACCTGGAAAAATCAGTAAAAAACGTCTGAAAAGTTACTCACACATTTAAGTAGTTCATGTCTCTTATGGTCATCCAAAAATTCATTAATAAATTTAAAGTTGGTTGCGTCGAGTGGTCAAGAGTCACCATGTCATGTAGTTCATCATCATAGTCTAAGTTAGAGGTGTCAATCACGCACACCTTACATTCTTCAGTTGTCGTATCAAGTTCGTGTGGAAAAACTAAGTCAAAGTTGTTAAGGCAGTTAACCGAATTTCTTCGGTAATATTTCTTAAGGATGTTGATATGATAAGCTTAGGTTTCCCCTTGAACTTCTATGAGGTATCAACTTTCCCACAAATTTTAATACTTTATATGGACCTTTCCATGCTACTAATAATTTATTTGACTTGATAGGCAAAAGAACCAGAACTTCATCTCCTACTTTAAAACTTTTCCTCTGGCTTTTGGAATCAAAATAGGTTTTGTACTGGTCCATTGACAAGCTTAGGTTTTTCGAAACTATGTCAGAGGTCTCCTCAAGTTTGGATCTAAGGTCAAGGGGAAACTGGTAAGAAGACTGAACCTCAGCATTTACCTCCTCATTAGCCCATAAGTCATGAAGGATGGACAATGGACCTCTGGCCTGTCTACCATAGAGAAGTTCAAAAGGTGAAAACCCCAAAGAGTCACTGGGAACTTCCCTCATGGTAAACAAAGCACAGGGTAGGTAACGATGCCACTCCTTAGGTTTAAGGGAGCAAAGTTTCCTTAAAATGGACTTGAGAATCGAATGCTGGCGCTCAATCCTCCCATTACAGCTGGGATGATAAGGTGTTGTGAAGAGAGGCTTCACTCCCAGAAGTTGGTAGAGATGCTGCATTAAGTCAGATGTGAATTGTGTCCCACGGTCAGACAAAATTTCTCTAGGGATGCCCACTCTGGAGAAGATTGACAAAAGGGCTTCAGCCACCTCTGTAGTGGTTATGGTCTTTAAGGGTATGGCTTCAGGGAAACTAGAAGCATAATCAACTATATATATATATATATATATATTATCACACCGGCCGATTCCCACCAAGGCAGGGTGGCCCGAAAAAGAAAAACTTTCACCATCATTCACTCCATCACTGTCTTGCCAGAAGGGTGCTTTACACTACAGTTTTTAAACTGCAACATTAACACCCCTCCTTCAGAGTGCAGGCACTGTACTTCCCATCTCCAGGACTCAAGTCCGGCCTGCCGGTTTCCCTGAATCCCTTCATAAATGTTACTTTGCTCACACTCCAACAGCACGTCAAGTATTAAAAACCATTTGTCTCCATTCACTCCTATCAAACACGCTCACGCATGCCTGCTGGAAGTCCAAGCCCCTCGCACACAAAACCTCCTTTACCCCCTCCCTCCAACCCTTCCTAGGGCCGACCCCTACCCCGCCTTCCTTCCACTACAGACTGATACACTCTTGAAGTCATTCTGTTTCGCTCCATTCTCTCTACATGTCCGAACCACCTCAACAACCCTTCCCCACCCTCTGGACAACAGTTTTGGTAATCCCGCACCCCTCCTAACTTCCAAACTACGAATTCTCTGCATTATATTCACACCACACATTGCCCTCAGACATGACATCTCCACTGCCTCCAGCCTTCCCTCGCTGCAACATTCATCACCCACGCTTCACACCCATATAAGAGCGTTGGTAAAACTATACTCTCATACATTCCCCTCTTTGCCCCCAAAGGGACAAAGTTCTTTGTCTCCACAGACTCCTAAGTGCACCACTCACTCTTTTTCCCTCATCAATTCTATGATTCACCTCATCTTTCATAGACCCATCCGCTGAAAACGTCCACTCCCAAATATCTAAATTTACGTTCACCTCCTCCATACTCTCTCCCTCCCAATCTGATATTCAATCTTTCATCACCTAATCTTTTTGTTATCCTCATAACCTTACTCTTTCCTGTATTCACCTTTAATTTTCTTCTTTTGCACACCCAAACCAAAATTTCATCCACCAATCTCTCCCAACTTCTCTTCAGAATCTCCCAAGAGCACAGTGTCATCGGCAAAGAGCAGCTGTGACAACTCCCACTTTGGTGTTTATTCTTTATCTTTTAACTCCACGCCTCTTGCCAAGACCCTCGCATTTACTTCTCTTACAACCCCATCTATAAATATATATTAAACAACCACGGTGACATCACACACCTTGTCTAAGGCCCACTTTACTGGAAAAATTTCCCTCTTTCCTACATACTCTAACTTGAGCCTCACTATCCTCGTAAAAACTCTTCACTGCTTTCGTAACCACCTCCTACACCATACACTTGCAAAATCTGCCACATAGCCCCCCTATCCACCCTGTCATACGCCTTTCCAAATCCATAAATGCCACAAAGACCTCTTTAGCCTTATCTAAATACTGTTTTACTTATATGTTTCACTGTAAACACCTGGTCCACACACCCCTACCTTTCCTAAAGCCTCCTTGTTTTTCTGCTATCCTATTCTCCCCTCTTACTCTTAATTCTTTCAATTATAACTCACCATACACTTTACCAGGTACACTCAACAGACTTATCCCCCTATAATTTTTGCACTCTCTTTTATCCCCTTTGCCTTTATACAAAGGAACTATGCATGCTCTCTGCCAATCCCTAGGTACCTTACCCTCTTCCATACATTTATTAAATAATTGCACCAACCACTCCAAAACTATATCCCCACCTGCTTTTAACATTTCTATCTTTATCCCATCAATCCCGGCTGCCTTACCCCTTTCATTTTACCTACTGCCTCACGAACTTCCCCCACACTCACAACTGGCTCTTCCTCACTCCTACAAGATGTTATTCCTCCTTGCCCTATACACGAAATCACAGCTTCCCTATCTTCATCAACATTTAACAATTCCTCAAAATATTCCTTCCATCTTCCCAATACCTCTAACTCTCCATTTAATAACTCTCCTCTCCCTATTTTTAACTGACAAATCCATTTGTTCTCTAGGCTTTCTTAACTTGTTAATCTCACTCCAAAACTTTTTCTTATTTTCAACAAAATTTGTTGATAACATCTCACCCACTCTCTCATTTGCTCTCTTTTTACATTGCTTCACCACTCTCTTAACTTCTCTCTTTTTCTCCATATACTCTTCCCTCCTTGCATCACTTCTAACTTTGTAAAAACTTCTCATATGCTAACTTTTTCTCCCTTACTACTCTCTTTACATCATCATTCCACCAATCGCTCCTCTTCCCTCCTGCACCCACTTTCCTGTAACCACAAACTTCTGCTGAGCACTCTAACACTACATTTTTAAACCTACCCCATACCTCTTCGACCCCATTGCCTATGCTCTCAATTAGCCCATCTATCCTCCAATAGCTGTTTATATCTTACCCTAACTGCCTCCTCTT